GCATAACAAAATTTGGAGATTGCAATTTTTTGGTATCTAGAGCTATGAGCCAGAATAAGATGTAAAATTAAAAAAAAATCCACTATTTTTACAGTAATCTCATGTATCTTTCAACGGCGAAACCATCCGGGGCCACTTCTGAAGGCCGCAGCGAGCAGTCACAAATATTAAGTATGCTTCAAACGTTAAAAATTTGCTATAAAGTTGTACTTTACTTCTATAATATTGACTGTTTATCATTCAACAGTGTTGTAAAATGAAACCTTTACTTTGGCGTTTTCTATTTCTCATATTTTATTCTGTCAAAACTATAAAGTTAGTATACATCTTGACGTTGCAAAGAAGTCTAAGAACTCACTGCTTTACCTAGAGATCTGTTAAATTAAGATTTTTCCTAAAATCTTGTCTGTTTTTGGGGAACTACAGCACGTTGATTCAAAGGAAAACAACAAGTCGTGCTTCTGTTCGCTTATGCAACCAGAAGTTTAACAAGTACAAGATGGAGACAATTCTAAATTTAAGAAGTAGAAAACGCTGAAGTGAAGGCTTCATCATACAACACTGTTGAATAATAAACAGTCAATATTATGGAATAAACCACAACTTTTATAGCAAATTTTTAACGTTTAAAGCATACTTAATATTTGTGGTTGCTCGCTGCAGCTTTCAGAATCGGTCCCAGATGGTTTTGCCGTTGAAAAATACATGGGATTACTGTAAAAATAATAAGTTTTTTTAGTTTTGCATCCTATTCCGGCTCACAGCTTTGAATACCAGAAAATCGCCATCTCCAAATTTCGTTATGTTGTAGAGCAAAAAATTCTGCACGAAATGTGTTTTTTTTTTTTTAAATTCAAAACTATGTTTTTTTAAATGTTTGTTTTAAATCTTGTTTTTATTGTATTTAAATGATTTTTTAATAAAATTGGAAGAATAAGTATGCATTTAAAAGTTCAAGTCATGACAACAAATCTAATAAACAAAAAAGCATTAAACTCTGTTTGGAACGAGCTAAATTACAAGTCTGTTAAGAGAAAGATGTCAATTGGCAACCTGGCAAATTTCGCCACTTTGAGGAGGTGTAACTTGGCGGGGATCTCACTTTTCCAGGTTTTTTTTATGGCTTTCTCTATGCTCGCCTAGACTCTACTAATCAGCAAATTCAAAGAAAAGTTGAGATATGAAACTTAAAAAGAGTGCGATTAGTCGTGGAATGGTTTTAAAAGATGTGCAGTTTCATTTGTTTTCTTACTTTCATGCTATAGTTTTTCTCTCTACGTGATCATTCTTTTACTGCTGATTAAACTGTCAACGATAGTGCCAAAAACTTTAGTAAAATCTTGTTTGACAATTCACTCATTTATTGGTTATTAAATGATATCTTACAAAATTTTCTTCATAAAAAAGATTATGCTTCTAAAAACTAAAAACTAGAACTGTTGAAGAATTTGTAAATACCTGGTCTAAAACTGCCTTAAATTCTCTTTTTGGTGCCTCTCATACTAACTTAGTAATTTTTGAGCTTAAATTTTGAGCCTAAAACTTGAAAGTTGCAGTCCAGTGATTGCTCTTAAAAACCTCGTTGAAAAAGACATCGATATTGACTGTAACATGAGCACTTTTAGCCATAAATTGTTTGCAGCTGATGAATTATTATAAAACAAAGCTATTTTAAATGAAGCTCAATTATGTTGTTAACAAATGGAATAATCATTACTCCTCTGAGCAGAAAACAGGAAAGAATAGCGTTATTGAAAACGTTAGACTGCTAAAATCACTGGATAACGAAAACGCATCTAACTTGTCTAAGAGAAAATATTTGAATTTTTAGAAGAACAGATTATTCTTTGAAAACATCGAAAATCATTATTTTTTGAGTTGATTTGTTATTTGCGAATTTTTTACAACCTCTGTACACTGTGTGCGTTCTGAGAGCCGTAGATTGTAAGATGAAGTTTTTTTGAAATAAAAAAGGAAATAATGATTTTTTTTACTGTGATTCATTTAAAAACCCAGATTTGTCTCCAGTTTACTACCAATTGTCTAACTACTATTTAATAAACAAAAAAAAAATATAAAATTTTTTATTTTGCTAACTGTCTTGTATTATGATGTCTCGGATTTATATGATACACTGCTACCCTTAAAGAGAAAATATTCTCTTTGCTCTCAAGCTTACTTTGAGAACCGCTGATGTCAACCAATCTCACTTTTAATTTTTATTACTGACGCCAAGAAAAAGCATTGAAATATGATTACCATTATCGAAACAAAAGCTAAGTTCTTTTGAGAACTTTTTAGCGCTGATTAGTAAATCTTTAAAACTAAAAAAATTTTCGCAGTAGTATTTTTTGGATGCTAATTCTTCCTAGTCAGCATCTAGAAAATTACCGTATTAGAATTCTCTTCAAATTAAAAAATTACGGTTTTAATTTCTATATTTTGCTTACAGATCACTATTAGGTTTTTCTTCTAAGGATTATGTACTGAGATGAAAAGCAGTCGTAGCAACATTTGAAGTGTTGAACCAGAAAACGCATCGAAATCATGTCAGTGAGGTTTATAAACCGATTTATGAACTGATCCAAATTTATCTGTTAAAAAGAAAATAGAGCTTATCTAGATAAATCTTTTAAAGTACAAAAGACCTTATTTGAACAAAAATTTCTATTTCATACTGATAGTAAAGTTGGAGAATGTCAGAAAGTTTCTGAGCGTTCAGTGCATCAAAATTTAGGCAGTCATTAGTAACTCATATTTTTGAACACGTTACAGATTAAGACAATTTGTTTATACTTTACGAAAATCGGTTACGTTCTTTACTCAAACACTCGCCTGTGTCTTTCCTTCCGCTTTTGCTTTTTATCATCTAGTTTGTTTTTTTACATAACAGATAGATGCGATGTTTGAGCTTTTTCACCTTTCATAGGTGAAAATAGACCAGTGCTGTCAGTAATATAGCGTATAAAAATTAAGTTTTTAAGACCTATAAAAGATGCAAGCTTTTTTCAAGACAAATATTGTAAGGTGCTTTACCTTACTTTATTATAAAAGGTGTCGTTTGAAAGAGAAGGCGCAGCGGTTTTGCTAGGTATAAAAGAAAAGGAATAATTTGAATTAAAAAAATGGCTTCACTGTACAACTTAAAAATTGAAACTTTTATGCTCTTTTGGATAAAAAATATTTGATGCTGAAACTAAAAACAGTTGGGAATAAAAAGCTTAAATGGGCGACGTGCAATAAAGTTCTCAAATTAAAAAAGTCGCTTTTGTGTTACATAAACTGCAACGTCTAGTCACAAGGGGTTCTGTTGCTGAACAGCAGAAGGTTTTATGAGGTTTGAATGAGCGTAAAAATTAGAGCAAGTTAAAAGGCAGTGCTAGGCTTTCGTCGCTAAATCGTCGCAGCCGTTGTTCCGTGTCTGTACTTGAGGCTTGTCAGTCCTGGTTGTTTTAATGCATTAAGCAATGCTAAAAGCCTGCAGCGAAATGCATTAGTTACGAACATTACTGAAATAGTAGGAATACTAGTACGCAGCAGTGCGTAATGATCACACAAGACAGAACTGAACACCGCACAAAATATATTTAATTTTTGCCTGTTACACTTTCCTACACTGTGAAGATATTGTCTTATGAAACGTCAAAAAGCTTAGAATAACAGTTTTGGTTTAGCTTGTTGAAAAGTTAAGAAGAAGTTACATAATTCTGAAATTGCTGTATATAAAATAGTCCGACTTCATAAGGCGAACGTAGGTTAACAGTGAGAAAAATTGGTTAACGATGAGCGCTCTGAGCTGTAACAGTGCTTCATTATCAACCTTTTCGTCAAGCCGTCTTGGTGCTTTAGAAAATCTTTGATTTTGTATAAATATTTTTTGAGTGTCAGTAAAAACTGTGTTGTATACTGTTTTTCAACACACCGTGGTTTCCTTTATATTATAAATCAAATTTAAACTGTTGGTTAGCTACACATTTGAAGATAAATGCAAATTTTGCTTTTGGCTTTGCAGAAGTTGGTTCCAAAAGACATCGCCGAGTTCGTGAAGAGCTTGAAGACGACGATTGCACGTCTGACAAAGATATTATCAGTAAGCTTCTAAGCAATTACAAAGAACACAAAACTCCATCTGAAACTGGTGTCATCGTTTGGATTGAAGTAAGTCAGGAAACTTCTTTTTTGTTAACTTCACAACTTACCCGCTAATGAATTCCAAATTTACCAAGATTATGTAATGTTACGCAGAATATTTTAAAAAGTTTCTAAAAACCGAGTTAATAATTGATTTTGCTTAGTGATTTATGAAAATTTAAGGTATGGGTACAGGAAGTGAATGCAGTGAATGAGATTACCTCTGATTTTGACATGGATATCTACGTCACTGAATTATGGGTAGACGACGCGTTACGGTACGAATGGTTGAATCCTTGTAAGCTCAATCTGTCACTCAACGGTGAGGTATGTAACAATAAAATAATTTAAAGAAAGATCAATTGCTAGGCAAGGATTTTTTAAAACCTTTTATTATACATTTGTTTAACAATCTTTAGTTTAGCAGTAAATTCTCTACTAGTCGTTTTTGTTGGCAACCCTAATAATCATAATTTAGGTGAACGCGCAAGTTTGACTTTACTAGCAATAAGTTATTAATTTTTAGATATACTAGTTCTTGAAAAGCTTAAATTACGTTAAATTTCTGCTTTAACACGGTAATGAAGGTTTTATTTGTTCGAACATTTTCAATTTTTTCTACGGTAGCTAGAGATAGTGCTGTCAAAGTGCATTATTTTACAGGTTTTGGAAAAAATATGGAAGCCTAATACAGCATTTGTGAACAGTAAGTCTGCCAGCATTCATAAGTCTCCATTTTCCAACGTATTCCTGATGATTTATCCTAATGGAACTGTTTGGGTGAACTACAGGTAAGCAATAATTATTGGTTCTAAAATTATAAAAGAGAAAGCTTTTGAGGCAGATAGCTTTAATTACCTCTATATAAAAAATGTTTGGGAAGAAAGATTTGCAGGTTAAAAAGAGAATTATCTTACGATTTAAATAGCGACATTTAGTTGTTATTAATAAATAATTTATCATCTTTTTTGCTGAATAATTGAAATTACAGTAAATTACAGTTTTCTATAAATCGTGTCGCAGTTTAACATTATTTGGAGCTTGAAAGCTGAGAGAAGAAGATTTTTCAAATTTGAGAGTTTTTTATAAAATGGAAATTAAATAAATTAACTGCTGCTTTTTCTGTTTTCAAAACTGGTTCTAAATTATGCAGTAATTACACATCGGCATTTTTATATTAACTATGAAGACTTTTTAAAGTATCAACTGTTGTTTTATTCCAACAGGCTTTTTTTCAAAACGGCATATTTGTGCTGCTTTTATTGTTAATATTTTAAGAGTACAAGTGACCGGTCCATGTATGATGGATTTTACTTCATTTCCGATGGATGAACAGACATGTATCTTAACATTAGAAAGCTTTAATTATAATCAAAAGGTAATGTTTAGGTCTTATTTATATTTATTAAAGTGCTTCAGTTAATACTACTTTTTCTTTTACTTGCAAAGTTGTTTTTTGTTTTGACAAATTTTCATTTGAATTCTAGCTTAAAAACTGACCCTGTTCACTTTTCAAGGAGGTTGATATGCGTTGGACCAATGCCACAGCACCGCTGTCGTTAATGAAAGATAAAATCGTTTTACCTGATTTTGTTCTCACTAACTACTCAACTTATATAAAGCATGAGGTACTGCTGTATCAATTATTTCCTTTCTTGTTCTCCGATTTATAACTGTTGTTCTCGTGTTTTCCGAAAGTAATTGCGGTATATTATGCTACCTTTATACATATTTTCGACTCTTTTTCATTGTGTTTGCCAATTCCCTTTTAAACAAGTTTTTGAAGAAATTAGAAAAATGAACAAGTCTACGTTTGTTATATTACAAACTTCATATAAGCTGCTTTTATGTACCCATTTTTTATTACAAATCGACTTCCGATTTGCCGGTTTTTCATTTGTCTTTCCTATGATTCTTTACCTTCTATTGATAACTTAGCAGCTACAAAACTATTCGACTAAATTTTTGCAGTTATTAATGTATCTATTGCCAATCTTGAACTTCCTTTAGAGTTTAGTCCTAATAACTAAATTGATATCATAAAAGAACTGAAAGCACTACCTTGCCATCTCTTGAGATTATAGATCTCTTCTAAAATACCTAAAATACAGTACTCAATAAATTTGTTTAAAGTACTTCAGAGTGAGACCTAAAAAGAACATTTTCTTCAGAGCCCAAGCTTCTGAGTATTGGGAAAGGTAATGTCCAATCAAACCTTGGGGTGAATAAACGGGACAGTGAGGAGAAAGTTTCAAATTTAGTTGGTGGGCGCTAAAATTGCGACATGCCGCTCGTAGACTATTTCGCAGATGAGCGTTCATTTTCGGTTAGCGGAAATGAAATGTTTTTGTCTTTATTTTTTTGTTATGACTTTCACTACATTAACATTTCGTCCCTGTTAGACGAGCCAGATTTAAAAAAAATTTGAAAATTTGTCATGCTTGAATCTTACTAGAAAGAGCCAATTTTTACGGCTTGATGCTAACGTTGAATAAATTTTCAATCAAACCGCTTTTGTTTCATCGCTAATGAACTTTTTTGTCACTTACGGCGTTCTAATTAAAGAAGGAGCATTACTGGTATCAATAAGCTGGTAAATTGAAAAAAACCACATTTTGTTTTTACGCTGAAGTCACGCTGTGTTATACTGTAAGATCAGCCTCCTGTTTTCAAGCTTGCGTGACAGGTATCGCGATTCGCTACTTCTGTGAGTAAAGACTGGCGTAGATAGACTAAACCGAAATTGAGTGGTAACAGAAAATGAAAAAATTAATTTTTTGAGTTTCACTCACTTTGCAGAACCTTAAAAGGTAAAAAATTCAAAATTTTTAAAAAACGTGCTTTACCAAAGTGGCTCATTCTAAGAAACATAATTACCGCTTGCGTCTATTTCGGGTTGGAAAAAACAATATTAACAACTTTTCTTAAATCTTTTTTAGGCGTATTTACAGGCCAGTTTGAAATCATTAGTTGTTGAGGTTTCATACAATTTTGACGATAAGTTTCATCTGACCACAGAAGATAACACATTGTAAAGTTAACGATGTAACTTTTTACATTTTGATCGGTCTGTAGAGAAGCAGTGCATTTGAGAAATGCCAATTTCTGCGGCATTTTCAACTTTTTATTTGGCGTCGTTTGTGCTCTTTAGGGATCATCTAGTATAATTTTTCCATTTAAGTTACAAAAAAAAGAGAAAGGTTCCTTAAACGAACCTTAGTCGCGGTTAAAGTTGGTAAATAAATGTGTAATGACTTTTTTAAATTAATGTTACTATTACTGGCATATTTCGGTCACACTGTAGCAATTTTAGATTTATCCGGCTGGAATCTGGAATGAACTTACAATGCAACTTGTGTTTACTCGCCGGTACGGTTGGTACATCTTCCAAGCTTATATACCCACTTATCTAACAATTTTTATCAGGTAGGTCAAGATGTTTTTGCTAACTTTTGGTTTTTGATTATTTGCTTACGTGAATTCTAGAATTCTATTCTAGAATTTTGGTTGCAAAATAGCTAGCTAGTCATTTTCAGCTGGATCAGTTTTTGCTTGGATCCAAAGGCTATACCGGCAAGGACTATGCTGGGTGTTAATTCTTTATTAGCCTTAACGTTTCAATTTGGAAATATTATGCGCAACTTGCCTCGTGTCAGCTATATAAAAGCTTTAGGTGCGTTATTGTTTCCTTTTTTTGAAAATGTTGGAAAGAATATTTTTTAAAATGTGCACAAAAAAAATAATAAAAAATAAATAGATGCAAAATTTATTAATAGAACTTGAACTGAGGAAATGAAGAAGACAGGCAAAAGAGATAAAATTAGAAACAAACTGTTACGACAAAATGACGTTGTTCACGCAAACTGATTTAAATCTGTAAATTTTTGAACACGTACAAAACGAGTTATTGAATTAAACTCACCTTTTAAAAATTCGTAAATAAATCTTTCGCACTTATGACACTTTTAGACATAGGCCAAACGGGAGCATTTAAATTACTGCAACAATAGCTTACCGCAATATTTTGAAACAACAAAAGATTTGTGTGTTTTAAATTGCAGTTTTTTGGAATTTCATGTGTACGTTAATTTTTCAGATGTTTGGATGCTTTCGTGTCTTTCATTTGTATTTTGCTCACTTTTAGAATTGGCTATTGTTGGTTACCTTGCAGCAAAAGAAGTTAGCAGTTTTTTATCAACACTTGTCTGAATTTTTCTATCAACTATTTGTGTGTGTGAAACATCGTCAATACAATTTTGTTTTTATTTATTAACTTATATTTTTTCTACACACGTAACATTTGTAGTCAGCGTTCTTTAGAATGCGAAACCTCAACCAATTATTTTGCCAGCATTTGCAATAAACACGACTCCTTCAAACAGTACAGGTTCACCAAAGATATGTCACCACTATGTTCCCCAATTTTCACCTCATGGAGTTAGGTATTACCAGTTCAAACTCAATTTTGCTATTTCCTCTTGCTGATCTCAGCAAATGTGTTTTACTGGTGTACACGCAAGTTTTCAAGACTGCCCGATCTAGCACAACCTTGTTTCACGCCTAAATAACTCAAAACTTTTTTAAATTTTGTGATTTAGTAGAGCCAAAACTAGCATTAAAAAAGCCGAAGAGAGAACGTGAGAAAGCGAATTTTCTGTCAAATCATACTGCTTCAAAGTTGCGGAATTTGCGAAGTCGCCATTTCATAAACTTGTCTTTTGCGGACTTACAATTCGAGCCGTCCTTGACAGAATTTAATGGTTTTTGGTACATTTGTTTCGCTGTTTTTTCTACCTTCACTTCTGCTTTTAAACACGTATTAATTAATTTAGTTTTGCTAAAAACTTTTAAGATAAGGTAAAAACAAGATTTCAAACAAATGTAGGGAGAAAAACGTATTTTTAAATTTTTTTGGAAAAACATGTTTTGTGCAGAACTTTTTGCTTCATAAAGTGCCAAAATTTGATGATAACTTTTTTTGGTATTGACAATTACGAGCCAGAAAGCAATGTTAAAGTAAAAGAAGTCTACTGTTTTTACAATAATTTTATGCATACGAGACTGTCTTGAGTTGCCTCCAAAAATTATGGAATTCGGTATGTTTTACATGTTACAAATTTGTTAAAACAGTCGTACTTCTCTTTAAGATACTAACAAATTGCCATTCTTCAGAGATTTAAGAAATAGCCTTTTAGTGTTTTCCGCTCCTTGTTTTTTTTTCTCAAAATTGTGCAGTTAGAATACATTTTGCCATCATAAAGAAGTCTATAAGCCTGTTTTTAGCTGGTTAGTTGCTAAATTTAGGGTTTTTTTTT